TCAATACACAATATTTCAGAAAGAGTTAAAGATAGGTATAGAACATAATTTATAGAAAACAACTAGAATTTTCTGGAGAATCCATAAATGTACCAATATACAGGGTGTTCCATTGGAAAAAAGTATGATCGTTCTGACATTTCCTTATGAAAAACCCTGTATACCCAAAATCAACATTTTCTGGCGCTTTCAAATAACACCTATAAATGTCAAATTTAAACCATATTTCAAAAACGTCGAAAAAAAAAAGTAAATCATGGGTCAAAATGTGGCCAATGACAGTGGCGTAGCCAGTAGGGGGGCAGGGGGGCGACGGCCCCCCCCCGCCCCCACGCCTATGGCGCCCCTACCGCTCTTAAAAAACAAAAGCAAAAAATAAGAAATAAAATTATGCTGTTTCTTATTTATTTAATTAACCTTTTCACTCTTTATTATCAAAAAATGTTTTTGAATGCTTAAAAAAACTTTTTTGGGCGTGGCACTTGAGGACATTTTTCGCCTCCGGTGGCGCCCTCGGCGGGTTTTTCGTCTTTAATATTTTCCCCCAATAAGCGAATATTACAAAATCATACAAACATTTTTTTGTTAAAAAAAATTGAAGCTAAAGATGATAAAATTATTCGAGCCCAGCATACACTATTAGCCAGGACTCAACGCTTGTTTACTGATAAATAAATAAATAAATAAATACCAATTCAATAATGAAATAAAATCCAGTAATGTACTGGTACGACTTTTCGTACCGCAATCGCCAGGTGGTGTAAATACGATAGCAAACCAGGTCACATTATCGTAAGTACCTAATCGTAAAAGAATGAAATTAGTTTAACTTCCTCCACCGTTATCACAAAATTCACAAAGATTGGGCGTCCCCTTGGCCGTAAGCCAGTCATATAATTTTTCACAAATAGCTGTCTCTTTCAAAATTGAAACGCAGCTAAATGTTTTAACATGGCTTCAATTCCACTATAGCGTAATCGCCCGATGACTGATATCGGTGGCAAATCGCTCAGCCTTATGAATGTTAATAATTCAATAATTTAAATATATGTCAAATTCATCCACGAGAATCAGACTCTTAAACTTTTTTTTTTTCAAGTGCATTGTCCTCTACGAACTTTGGCAATCATTATCGCTATCCGTACTTTGTCGATTGCTTTTCTGAATAGACTTGTCGTGGCTTCGCCATACCAGTGGCGCAAATTCTTTTGCCAAGATATTCTTCGACGTCCGGGGCCTCTTCTGTCTTCGATTTTTTCCTCGATTGTGAGCTTGAGAAGTAGGTATATGTCATTCTTATGTGTCCGAAGTACTCTAACTTTCGCTTTTTAAGCGTACCTAAACATAACTTCAGGATCATTTCACATTCTCGTCAGTACATCTTCATTGCGTACTTTGATCTTCCAAGATATTCCTAATATCCGTCTATGTGTCCACATTTCAAAAATCTCTAGCTTTCTGCACATGGCGTCTGTCAGAGTCCACGCCCCAATCCCATAATAGAGATTACTGAAGACAGCAACGTAGTACTCGATTACGAACGGAAAGCGAGAGATCTCGACTACACAACACGGACTTCATTTTTAGAAAATGATGCTCTGGCTTGTTCAATCCTGGCACGAACCTCCTGCATATTATCTCAGTCATCGTTAACCTGACATCCTAGGTATCTATGGTTGGACCCGAACGATCTGTTGGCTCTGTATCTGAGGAATACCTCCTTCAAACTGGTTCCTGGTTCTTACTATTCACCCTCCATTTAGTCTTTTTGGCGTTTATTTTAATCCAAATTCTCCAGACGAATGTTAATGTTCACGCCGTTGACAGAAATTCCCTCAGTGGAGTATTCGAATGATTTTTCAAACATTTTATTCGATTTAATATTAAAAAATAATGGTAAAAGTATCCAATCCTGCTGGACACCTCTTTCTATCGTTAATTCGTCAGACATTCGTTGCTCTACCTTGATTTGTGCAGTCTGACCTCAGTAGTGATTTGCGATTATCTTGAGGTCTCATCTAGGCCTACATCCTTGAGAATTCTCGTAAGCTTCTCTTGTTGCGTCCTGTCAAACGCTTTCTCATATTCTACGAAGCATGCGTATACAGAAACAGAAACATCTCTACATTTTTGAACTAGCACTTGGATGCTGAACACGGTCTCTTTTGTGCCAAAACCGTTACGAAAACCAAATTGGGATTTGCCCGTGAGGGACTCACACTTTGCGTATATTCTTTTATGGATGATCTTTAGAAAAATCTTGAGAAAGTGGCTCATCAAGCGAATGAGGCGGTAATCGCTAGATACAGCTTTTTGCAGAACTCTTCTGCGGAAGTGTCACAAATTTTGTTTTAAGCCAGCCATCAGTATTGCGTGTAGTGACTGCTCATTTTTTAGGGTCTAAATAACTTCTGAGTAGACACCGTTTTGAACCCCCCTCAACCCTGGTAAATTCTTAAAATCCTTCCAATCCTCATTCTCTGGCACCCCACACAAACTCCCCCACCTGCATCAGAGTCATCACCCGCGATCCTTCAGATCGCTGGAACGACTAGGGTGCAGGGCGGTCAACCCCAATAACCAACCCCGCGCTCACGCGCATATACCCCAAGTTCACTTTTACAGTTGAGACCCGTCCATTGGACTACACTGCCCGACAAGGCACAACATTTTATTTATTTATTTAAAAATCAATGAAAAGTGGGGTTTTTTAATGCCTTTTCCCCACAGAAGGGCGCTGCGCGCTCTACAACACCAACTCTAAGCATTCAACCAACATCCTTGGGCGCGTTCAGATTGAAGAGTCTGGGCGACGTCCAGTGCAGAGCGTACCCGATAGAGAGTGCACTCCGAGTGTGCCTGGCGATTCGCCCAATCTGAACGGCCAAAACGCATTCTCTCCTCATAACATCACTATTTATGGGATGATTTGATTTTGATTTTGTTGCCTTTTCAAAATTCACTGTGTTCGTGATTCTAACATTTTTGTAAAATAAGAAAAAAGAAAATTCAAAGATAATCAACTCTTATTTTATTTTATTTTGATTTTTTTGGTAGAACTTATCACATATAAAATAATACCTCTTAACCCCTAATTCTTATTTTAATTTATTTCCTATTTTATTTTATTTGTTGGATAAACTCGCCATAACTCGCAACAATAATATTTACAATATTTGCCTTTATTATTGGTTAGAACATAAACATAACACAAACGCGCATTCGGGACAAATTTTATCTTACTATTTTATGGGATGCAAAAGTGTGCGTCGGGGTGTCGTCAGGTAAAAATCTACTGACAATCTGAACGGCTGGGTAAATTTTACCCAAAGCAATCTGAACGGTCAGAGCGCGCTCGGGCGACAACCGACGTTCAATCTGAACGCAGCCCTTGAGTAGGCCAGTATAATGGCCCAATGCTTACCATCCGTGGTAGATACCAGCGACCCCAGGGTCATTTAAACGGCGTGTTAGGGCAACCGGGTAACGTTTAAAAGCAAGAATGGGATTAGGGGCTTGATAGGTCAGAACATCGACCGTCAACTGGCAAAACACCACACAGCGCGCTATGGGCGCAGTGGTGTGCAGTATGCTGCGCATACTGAGTGTTAGTATATAAGTCAATGTCCTAGGTTAAGAAAATGTATTGTTATTATTTGTAGTTAGAGGGGGGACTAACCTCCCGGCCTGTGAATGTAATAATCTATGTAATTTGTTAAATAAAGAATTTTGAGTTGAGTTGAGTATACAGCGGAGTAATTTGTCAGAAAATAGAATTGCATACCTATTTCGTTTTCTACACTTCAATACTATGGCGGCAACGGTCAAACATCTATAATGTACGTGTGTTTGTTTTTTATTTATACACTACGAAAATCATCCTTTCTAGCAATAGAAAATCCTCTTAAAACTCCACAAATTACACAGAGAACGGTTTCATTATAAGAAAACGTCACGGTTCTTTGAAGATAAATGAAATCCTTGGCGCCTTAACCATTTTCCTGGTATGCCTGTGTGTTTGGAGAAGTGTCACTTCAGTAGCGTCTCGTTGTATTTTCTGTAGTTTTTAACACCTAAAATTTCTGGATACTTAGCCTGAGGTGTATCCAAGTTGTGTAAAACAAAAGTGTTTTCTAATATATACATTCTATGTTACGAAAATGTATCGACAAACTGGCGCCAGGATTCTAAGAAATAAGGTACTTGTTCACGTCGGGCAGCGCACTTTTTGCCTGGAATTCTATTCTATTTGATTCGATGTTTTTCTAGCTATATTCCGAGTGCAATTTCGACCATATAAATAGAGCTTAGGAATAAATAAAGTCAGTTTTAATTCGATATTTGTCATGTGTTTCGATAAGTGAAAAGTGAATTAAGTTAATTTAATTCAGTTTAATGAAAGTTGAAACTGTTTGTGAAATGAGTTCTAGTGAAGTAGGTACCTACTGAACCTGGAATCTGTGACAATAATATACATTTGAGTTTTGATTTTGATTTTTTTTATAATGTAAGATTTATCATCAATTACATTTGTCGTACAAGCCTTGCCAAATAATTTACCTTCCAAATGATGGAAGGTGGAAATAACGTCTGTTCTAATCTCACAAAATATGACGTCAGTTTGCTGATTGGAGTGAAAGCAATTTTCTAGAAATTAATCGAACTAAATCCAATAAACCCGTAATCTACGAATCTTACTGATACCCTGATATCTACACTCTCTAATTTTCCTGTGACGCATAAAGGAATTTAATTAAGCAAACGAAGGAGATTGACATTAGCGGAATGCAATATCAAGAATGAGCTATTCTGTAACCTATTCAGCGCATTTATTTTGTTGGGAAATCCTTTATCTGTGACATTTTGACGGAAAAGTCCTGTTCCATATTTCGAGATACCCACACAACTTATAAAATATTGCAAATTTTTTTTCCAGATCACAAATTATTTCTGTCCCCCAACCCAAAATAAAACAACATAGTAACTTTATATAGCTACAATATATTTCAACTATTTTATTTTTTTCATTTTTAAAAAATTTACACATTTTTTGATGCGCATTATGGAAGATACCTTGTTCCTTTAAAAGGCACATTGTAAAAAAGGAAGTTAAACCACAATATGATTTTTAAAGGCGCTTCATCATATTTTATTGAAGGAATATCTAGAAAAACACATCTTTTTGATGCAAAAACATCCCAATAAACTATTATGAGCGCCCTGACATGGATTTGAAAAAAACCGACGTGATTTTTGTACAATAAATGCGAATTAAAATGTAAAATGCGAAAACGCTTGGTCATTAGAGATTATTTTGTGCTATATCTACTTTCCATCTTAACGCTGATGCCCCATAACAACAGGCAATATTGAATAAATGCAATGTCAATATTTCATTTAGTTCATTTAAAAATTCCTTCTGCTACTGCATTTTTCAATAACTAGGAACATTTTAAAGAAAAGTGTAATAAAATTACTCTAATTTGACCAAACAAAATTATCACTAAGTGTTCATTATTTTTATTTACCTCTAATTTAGGATAAAATTCAATTTTACGGCAATTATTATTGGCAGTGACATGATGCCATGAACTAATAATTTGACAAAATTTTCAATAGTGCAAATTTAAAACTTCAAAAGTCGCACTTTCAATATCAGATTCTTCATCGCTTGTCTCCTCGTCAGAATTTCTGGCGTAATTTTTCCATCTTCTATCATGAATGACCGGTGAATATGTAGGAGCTGTATGCTGAAAATATTAAATTCTTTTTATGGCTATATATGAAAATTTAACTGATGTATGATGAAAACATCGTGAATACATCTCATACCTTTTCGTCTCTAGTGATGTGGCGTGATGTGTACCTATCATTTAGATCTTTCGCCTTTTTATAAGGGATATGAAAATATTCGGGGGTAATAGCACAAGTGCATCCAAATAACCGATAATTTTGGACGAAAGCGTGTTTTATAAGAATTGCATGAGTTGATTTTCATATTTTTTTACGAAAGAGCCCGATACTGAACCGAAGGTGGGGGGTTCTTTTAAAAAAATACTAAAATTAACTAATACAGTTTTTTGAGAAAACACGCTTGAACGCCAAATTATCTGGTTATTTTGAAGTACGAATGCTATTTAGGAGGATATTTCCCGAAATTAGACCTGCCGGTAAAATTATCGGTACCTGCCGGGCACTTATCGGTACCTGCCGGGCAATTATCCCTATAAGTTTTAGATAATTGCATAATTCTTATGGTATTTTGTATACATGAGAGAAATATTCTTACAAAAATTATTTTTGACCCTAGTTAGATTGTGTGCTTCTTGTTGCATGACATTTACATAGTCGTACAAAAAGTACGTTGTTTTACATTACTCCAATTTTTCAATAACATTATCAATTTGGGGTGTTACACTACATACAAATATTTAATTAGATACCTATTCCTCTGTTAACTGCCATAACATTAAAGCAGCATCAGTACCTCCCACAGTAACAAGATTTCTATCATTAAATAAAAATCTGGCACAAGCAACAGTCCCACTATAAACTTTTTCTTCATTGTATTCTGCTTTGGGACTCAAACAGGGAAACCTACAATTTAATTTTGTTTATTTCAATAAAAAAAAATTTAGTGCGTAAAAAAAGTTAAATACCTAAACAGTCGCAAGTATCCATCAGTATCTCCGGTAATAATTAAATCATGAGCCGCTGACCTGGAAACGGTGCTTATAAGCGACGTCATTGGATAAAATCTGTTGTTCCATATACCTAAAATTATATTTTGTTACTTGTTGAACAAATTTAATTATCATTCACATGATTCTTACCAGCAACCATAAAACCTACTGTTGAATTATAGGTATACCATTTGACGTCTTTCATTGCTATTGGACTTTTTTCGGGTGATAGTGTTTTGATATCCCCTAGAATTTTTTTCTGTTTAAAGTATTTTCAAATATAGGTATAGGTTTATTCGTTATAGCCTAATATCAGCTAAGAAATTCATTTGATTGGAATATCGGTGTATTAGAGACTGCGACTAGCAAAAATTTCAAATTTTTACACCTGCAAAAGGCGAGTAAGAGAATGCTATTTTTAACCTCGAAGCTTTCAAATATGAAAGGCCATGATGTCCCGAGTCCGTTTAGAGCGCGTGTATTCTGGGAATTTTATTGTATTCGAGGGAATAAGACTTCTGGATACATCAGGAGTTCGTCTTTAAATAGCGCGTAGTAGTCATTGGAAGGTCAGTCCAAATAAGAGCTTTGCTGCGTCAGTTAGTTCAAATAAGAGTCCTGTTGCAGTTGAATACGAGATTTGTTGTGTACCGTTTTAAAACTGATAATTGAATTTGAATAAAGTCACTTTGTTCCATAAAAGTTGTTACTATTTGTAAAGCGAGGTTAAGTGAACCCGGAATCCGTGAGAGTATTTCAAGACAGAACCTGCGGGATTTCATAGGCAGACCTTGTGAAAGGCTCTAGCAATGTTCAAGAATACGGCACCAGATGCATTTTTGTAGTTGAAACCATTCGTTATGGTTTCGGCTAATGTTATCGCTTGAAGTTCAGCCGAATATGTTGTTCCATATCGGTCATCATGGATTTGCTCGGACTGCATATTATTATAATGTATAGCGCTTCAATCCTTCTAAAATGTTCTATAGACAATTCTCTTATTGGAATTTCCGATAAACATCAACTCTCGATCGTTCCGTAGTTGGCTAGTTTTCATCACTATGGAATTCCATTTTCGAGAAATCTAGTCATCAAACATATACTTATAGGGGTCGATCAATAAGTTCCATGGACGGACTTAAGGACAATTTCTGTTATTTTGAGCATCAAGGAAGTTGTTGTTAATGGTTAAAGGGAGATAGTTTTAATCTGCTTTTTCTCCTTTGCCGTATATCAGTAGCATGCATGACTTTTAAACACTTCTGCATATAATATTTCAAGTGGGCCTAGAGTATGGAAAAAGTATTTCGCAATCGGCCGTTGGGCCATTGAAGTTAATGCTGGTTAATAGAATCGTTTATAATCCACGAATACGAGCATTTTTGAGTGAAAAATTTCATCAGTCATTGTAGCAATTAAAGCTACTTTGTCATTTTATTATTATTTAAAGCAAGTAAATTTATTATATTTTAGGGGTTTTGAATTGTAATCACCGTTATTACTGTACATATTAATTATTGTAATGCATTTAAAGCAAGCATACTTATTTCCATTTAAATTTAGGTTTAGGTTGCAATTAGGAGTCAACCTGATTTTTATGTAAGTACTGCTTCCATTCAGGTGGCACCAGACCATCTCTATTTAATGATTTTTGCCTAGCTCTATATCCTTTCGAATAATACCAAACTTTCCGGTTGCTAACGCCACCTTTTCAAAGCTAGCGTCATCCTGCAATTATTTGAACTGCGCACGGCCTTACTTTAGGACCAAGAAAAGGTGGCCCCTTTTCTTGGCAGCTTGGTTAAGCCAGTCGACGTCAGTGACGTCAGCGAGCCCTTTTGTTTTTTGGCGAACGTGCTAAGTTCTCCTAAAAAGTCGCTTGAAGGGGTGAATCGTACAAATTTCTCTCTGTGGTTCGGAGTGCCATTTATGGCTATTTTTGTGTGATTTTATTGGAACATGCCAGGTATGTGACAAATCCTTTTATATCTTGAACATCCCTTAAGTTTATGATTATTTCTCCAGCCTATCTTTATCTGCAACCACCTCTGGTGATGCCAGTGCCTGTGTTGTGTACCAAATCATGGTATAGGAGCCCCTTGTTCACCTTTCTTTTAATAAAAAAGAAACCATCAGTAGGTAATTCAATTTTCTGATAGGGTCCTACTACTACATCCAGGCCTAGTATTGGTCCAATTCAATAAAGACAGCATGCTTTCCTAAACTTCCTGTGTCCCTACTTATGAGGTCATTTTCATGGTCCCTATGGATAGTGCCTATCGACCTTGATGACACCTCGACTTGGAAGTAGTGACCATAGGTTTCTTAACGTTTAAATTTTACCTTTTATATTATAATTTTTTATTGAGCATAACCCAATTGGAATGTCTCATTTCCATGGTCAGTTCAGTTCAGTTCAGTGTTCGGCTGAGCATGTGAATTTTCAGAGCAGAAGACTCAACGAAGTCGTTTTATATTTTTTATTGAGCATTGCCTAATAATTGGAATGACTCATATCTATGTTCAGTTCGCTGTTCGGTGAGCATATGAGTTTTAAGAGGAGATAGACCGGTAGAAAGGGTCCCAAATTAAATAAAATGATCCATCATTATTATTATTTTACACAATAGTAATTAGTTAAGTATAGTATTGGGTTGGAATCAAATTATTCTTACATTCATGATACTCATTAAATTGTAATCCTAGATTTTGTAATTTTTCAATAAACTTTTATTAAACCTAATTAAGTGCAGAGTGTTGCTGTATTATTTCTTTTTATACCTAGTTAATATTTCTGATTTTATATTGAGGTCTATTTCGAAGTTTGAGACCTTATAAATAAAAACTTCGTGGCGCCCTCAGTAAACTCTCCTTAAACACGACCATAATTGCTTTCCGATGAACAGCTGCCGTAAGCAATAACATATTTTTAATCCAAAGTTACATCATAGATGCTTAGTTGTTTTAATGCGAGATTTAGAATATGCCTTGGTACTATTTGTCACACTCTCGGTTGAAATAGTCGATTTCACTGTCATGAAAAAGTTTATAATCCAGACTTTGTTGCTCCCAGCCATGTATGTTTAAAAAATTTGCGAGCGTATATATTGGTTTGTTTGGAATGCACGGTACTATTGGTACTTTCCATGATAAGACTACTGATTGTATCTACTAATAATTTGAATATGTGACGCACACATCACCAGTGTCTCCTTAAAGAGTATAGAACGATCAAAGTGTTATATTATGATGATTCAGTTCATCTCTATTTTGTATAGCTCACATTACAGTTTTGTCATTTCCGTGAGATTTATTGTAATTCATGTTGAGGAAAGCATCTCTCTCAATTCAACTTCAGTATTTTCTAGAATTTCTTCGGATCCCTGGGGATATGTGTTTGCTACTTCAGATGTCGCTGTGCGCAGTTGCTTGCAGCAAAATGTTTTTCTTCTAATTGAATCGAAAATATCTCAAATTGTCATAAGTAAGTCCAAAGCTGTCTAATTAAGTGAAAAAAATTTATATTTGTATTCGTTATTTTCGCCTCAAATTGGCTTTTATTCCTTCAAATTAACAATTTTATAATCAAAATCGATTCAGGCAAAAATTTTTGTTTTTTTAATTCCGCATCGCATGACATAGGGACAGGGACTCAAATCGAGTGTAAAAAAAAATAAAGCACTTCAAAGAGTTTGACACCAAAACTTGGACATCCTTACGAGACTAATGACCAAACACCACTGACCAAACAAAAGTTAAGTGTACTTAACGGTAAGTGATCCTTAGGTTAGATTTTGCCTTCCTCCACGCTTATTATGTTTTATTTAGGATCACTTTACTAAACCGTCGAAATTCTCAGCTTAAGGGCCACTTATCGTTAAGAAGAGATGTGCGCCTGCGCTAACAGCTTTCAGAGTTTTCCATGACATAAATTAGGAGCCGCAGAACTAAATTCTGAGCCAATTATCTCTCAAACCCCATTTTTTTCGGCCACAAATACTCCGTTTGTTTTTTTTCGATTATGTTTTTATTTTTTGATGTTAGCAGCTCTTTTTCCTTTATTGTATAGTTTGGTGTCCGGCTTTTTTTGGATAAACTCTCTATGTTTGTTTCTATTCCCTGACTCCTCTATGAAATAAACCGAACCCGGACAACAGCAACCAGCAACAACTATTATTAATATTTATTATAATCTTAAAAAAATTAGCGGGAAACGTCGAATGACCGATAACATTGACACGACTAGTGTAAAAACGAAAAGCACCCAAATCTTTCACTTAAAATTCAAGGTTGCCAAAGCTTTACGACACTTAGCTAAGCTTGCACTCGAAAACTATGGTGGAACGAAATTATATTTGAGTGTCCCTTAAGTTTCAAGAGCTTCATAGTTAATCAAGGCTTAGTTATAGTTTGGTGGAAATGGCCATCAGCAACGTCGGAATAACTGTCCTAAGCTACGCAGATGATCTGGTGGTAATACTCATAGTAACAAGCCGAATGCAAAATGCCTAGAATAAAATCAAAAACTGAAGCGAGGAAGGAGGAAGGAGTTTCCATAAATCCTAGCAAAATCTTAGTTCCGTTCACGAAAGGAGATCTGCGAGCCCCCACTCTAAACGGCACAGAATTATCTCTCTCGGATAACGTTAAGTATTTACAAGGATGATACACAGGATAGCCTATCCTCATAAGGCCTGTGTGGAACAAATCCTCGCCTTCCCCCCATGCCAAATCACCAGTTGTGACGTAGGCAGCATGTTATCTCTCGCCTTGACGTAGGCTGCTTATGACTTAGTTATGACGTCGGGAATGGTGAAACACCAATATGGCGGCGATTACCAAAAACGAGGCCGATAAGCAATCCTGTAGGTGTGTATCATCCTTGAAGTATTTAGGGGTTACTTTAGACCGCAAACTGACTTGGAACAACCATCTGAACATAACAATATTACGACCTACGGCGGCCACTAGCACATGCCGCAAACTCGTGGGAAAAACATGGGGGCCAACTTGAACAAGAAGGCACCTCATCGTCGAACACGAACAACGAGAATATAATTGCCAACGAGGATAACTTAGACCTAATTTCGACAATGGCACAACCCGACTTTGACCCACCACATACAAATAACGAACAAGATCCTATAGTAGGAGTCCCTATTATAGAATCAGCAGTTAATTACGGGGCTAATCAAGTGATTATTATGAGCTGTTTGCACTCGCCTGCAAAAACAAAAAGCTTGATATTATTTGAGAAGAAAAGAAGATTTCTAGTCCAATTATCGGAAAATAATTTTGAGAATGACATCATGCAATTTGAGAAAGAAAATGTAGTACCCGAAAAGTTATATTTCATTTATTTCGAAAATCCAGATACTTACGAACCTTTTTGCGCAATAATAAGAAAAAACTTTAAATGGCCTTCAATTAAATCTAAAATATGCCTGATAAAATTAATTGATGTCGTCAACAAAACAGAAATAGCAGAAGTAATTCAAAATTACCATGAGAGCAAGACAAATCACCGAGGAATCGAAGAAACCGAGCGACGAATTAAGGAAAAATATTATTGGCCCAACTTGAAAGAATCCATTCAATCGTTCATCATTGAATGTGAAATTTGTCAACGTAGCAAATACGAACGCCACCCAATAAATATGGAAATGAACATCACGCCTTCTGCAATAAAACCATTTGACATCGTCCACCTTGATACATACACTCTCGATAATGTTAAATTTCTTACTATAATAGACAGTTTTTCTAAATATGCCGAAGCTTATGCCCCCACATCTTTATCCGCTACCGAAATATGTAATAATCTCATATCCTTCTTTTCAGATCATGGCATTCCATCCAAGATAATCACAGATAATGGAACGGAGTTCAAAAATACTGTTCTTACTGAATTACTTCAACTTCACATAGTAAAAATATATATTTTTTCTCCTGAACACCCTCAATCGAACGGCGTAATTGAAAGACTTAACTCAACCTTATCTGAGTACATAAGAATTTTTAACAATCAAGGATTCCTAAAAATGCCAATTACCCAAAAAATTGAATAAGCGATCTTAAGTTCGATCAACTTCTAATAACAGATTACGTCAACGAGCACAAAAATAAAACATAACTTTTGTATTCCAACATAAACGAGCATCTTATGATTACAAGAAATAAAATAATTGGCAAAATCAATGAAAATCGTGATAAGCCAACATTATTTAGACCAGAACAGAGGATACCTATATGTAAAAAAACACGCCAAAAATTAGGAGACAAATTTCGACCAGCCACACAAATAGACACCGTTGACCCTACACGGAAAACAATAACAACGGACACTCTAGGCAAAGTGCATATGGACTATATTAAACGTCCTTTAAGAAACAAATATAGTTTTGATACTTAGGTTAATTTTAATAAATAGGTAATAAGCATTATATTGGTAGGTACTAATAAATATGAATATGATAACCTCACGCTTACGCTTACTAATCTTTATTTCAGCTTTCTAACCCATGCATTCGGAAACCAAGAGCAAATCTCCATAAGAAAATTGGACGATAATCCAGTGAAACTTGAAAATGCAAAAATTAGAGACTACACCTACACATTAATACATTACTATGACCTAAATCCCATACCAATCGAAATTAACAAACTACACTCTAAATCCAATAATATCACTAACATGCTTAATGGACACAAAGAGTATTCTGAAGATATTAGCAATTATATCAAGTTAATTAAACTAATACAAATTAGAGTAGGTAGATAACAAAATTCAAGAAATAATTCCCCAGCCACAAAGAACAAAAAGAGGCTTGATTAACGGTCTAGGGTCAGTTCTCAAATCCGTAACCGGAAACCTCGACGCTGACGATGGCGAGCGTTATGAAAATCTTATAAGGGAATTGCAAGAAAATCAAAAGTCAATCAAATCGCACACATAGTAGAGAAATCTGCTTATAGAGAAAATTCTCTTTACATTAAAGACATAATTAATCAAATTATTAATTTCTACGAAATAATAGATTCAATATTACAAGATGTCGAAAACTCTTTAACTTTTTCTAAGTTAAAAATTATGCATCCTAGAATAATGAGAACTGAAGACCTCTGTACAGAACTAGTCAAATTACAAAAACAACTAGGTAATGAACAAATGCCTTTAGCAGTTAATGTTGAGAACATTCTTTTGTATGAAAAAATCGTCAAATTAGAATTATTGGTTCTTAAAAATAAAATAACTTATTTGGTCCACATACCTATAATGTATCCTGAATCTTTCGATTATTTCCACCTATATTCAATACCAATCAAAAGTCAGAGTCAGTTTAAGGTAGTCCTTCCACAAAATTAATATCTTTTAAAAAACGGATTGCACTACGCACATTATGGCCAAGAATGCCAGGAAATCCTTCCTGAATTTCACCTATGCGAAAAAGAAGAACTCCAAGAACTTCAAGACAGCAGTCCATGTGAAATAAAGCTACTGAACTCTAAAAAAGACACTTCTACTTGCAAACCAACCGAAGTCAAAATCACACAACCAATAACCAAACGATTGGACAAATCCAATCAATGGATATTCGTCCTTCCGGCTAAAGTGCTTTGGACAAGAAGAAATCAGAAAAATTATTGGTTCAGATACCAATCAGTTGCCAAATAACTATCTCTGCGAGACTGATAATCAACGAAAGAAAGCTTCTGAAATCCGATGCCCAACCTATACTATTTCCCGACCTTCCAAATGTACCTAAATTAATGCATTCCCTAAATTTAGGTACAGGGTATTTGATTATATTTGGCACCATACCTATTTATGATAGAAAACAATTTTAAATACAAAACTTGACAGTTTTTTTCTATATTTTCTTTTGGCAGTATCAGAAAAAACAAAATCGCATCGGAAAATGGAGAAACGTAGGCAACTTCAACTTTTTTCAATGGAACACCCTATATATTATGCGATAAAATTAAAGATCTTTTCTTCCTGATTCCAAATATATATATATTGAGCACATTTGAGTGAGCCGTTTTTGAAAAACATAAAATTGGACAATCTCCAACAACTAGCTAACGAGATCGTAGAAAACTGTTTGACGTTCAGTGAAATCAGAAGACTACCAAGTTTGGGAACCATTCTGATTTATGCTATGATCCTTGCTGGGTGTGCTGTTCTTGGCTATAAGAAACTAGCACCGAAGTTGAAGAACCGAAGAAGGGACAACCACCCTGAAGAAGAAGCCCAACCAATCCAACTTCCCCGTCTAGCATGAAGTTGCATCCTAAGAAGGGAGGAGTAATGTCAGCTCTATTTGCTGACCAAACATATAATCTGCTTAATTCGCTTTTCTTTATTATAAATATCGCTGCACGCCTAGAATTGTTAGTCAGTTGAATTATAATTATATTTCTTATTTTAAACCTTTGTAACGCGCAACGCGAAAGTACTTCATTGTAATTTAGAGAATAAATTATTTTTTAAAAACTCGCTATCGGCTTACGTATTGATAACTCGCGTTTTAATTTCACGATACTTTTGATTAGAGTAGGTACTTCAACAAACACTTTTAGGATGAAAATAGCATATTTAAAATTACTATAAAGAATAATTACTCCGGCCGAGATATTCTATTACACCTAATTGAGTAATTTTCAACATTATTTAAAACTCTAATGTGTCAATTTCAACTAAGCTACTTGCTATATTTTTTTGACTTACAGAATGATAAATCGTAATCGGCTGTTACAGTTTGTAAATAGTTACTGTCAGAACTCCAATCTAGTTGCATTAAAGGCTGCGATCCTCTTATTTTATTTGATTTTTTATAAGTAAATCCATCTCTGCTTACTCTAAACAAGTAAATACTGCCATTTTGAGACGCAATCGCTATCGAATCACCACCTGAAGAAAAATTATAAAGACAAAAATATTTAAGTTTGGCAAAAAAATCTTACTTGGATTAAATCCAACGCAATTAAGAGGTGACCCACAGACCCTAATAGTATTCACAATTTGTCCCGATTCAGAATTCAATATAAGTAAGTGCCCTTCAGTGCTTCCTGCGGCCAAAGCAACCCCGAACGGGTGGAATGCTAATGAAACACATTCAAAAGATACCTGAGTAGTCCATATAAGCTTATTTTTTCTCCAAAGCGCAATGTTTTTATCGTGACCTGCAGTGGCAAATATTTCATCGTCGGGATGTACTGCTAGTCCCCAAAGCTGTCGTCCATGACCAAATACAACCTAGAGTTGAACAAAGTAGATTATAAATATGTAAATATTTTCAAGTTGAAATAAACTTTACAATAATAAATAAGGGGACGCAATCTCGAAGGTAAAGATAACATTTCCAGTAATACTCACAGCCGTTCATAATTCTTCAAAATATGACGCAAGTTTTTTTATTTATTATAAAATGAATACCTATAATTATATTCTATCACTTTTAAATATGATGGTTGTATTTACGATGTCACAGAATGGCTCATATTTGCCTGAGATATTTCCTTAAACGGTTCTGTTGGAATTGAGCGACTAGGTAAGCATCGTGAATCAATGTATATAATGCCTACAGCTCTCCAAGCGGATTTTGGAAAAAATCCGAAGGAACATAATAATAATATTTCAGCAAGGAGGAGATTTTTATATGATTTTATTAATATCTATCTTCTATGCAGCTGAAGCATCAACCAAGAATGATTTTCAAGGTAAATAAAAGTAGACACGAATGAATATTACATGATATTTTTATGTAGGTATTTTGATTCGCTGATTCCGAATATACTATTATTGATTCTCAATGATAGAAGTGCAGAAAAAATAAGTAGTGGTTATCATAATGTATAGTCCGTCTAGGAAATATCCGGAATATTATATTTCTCCTAACTCCAATCTATTTCTTTTTTGTAACATTCTAATGGCCGTTTCCACCAACTATTTTAGGGAAGCCTTAACGATAACTGTTCCCTAAACTGACATTTCTTCATGGAAGACTGTCATTTTAAGGAATACTTATCATTAAGGCTTCCCTAAAATAGTTGGTGGAAATGGTCATAAGACAAAAATTATGCTCCAGCTATGCTGATAATACGCAATTGTTAAAATCGTGTCAACACTATCTCTCAAATTTTGTTGATTGTAACTACAAGCTTCTTAAGCTTTGCAGAATAATGTCGAAAGTTGAAAAAAGAAAAGCAATGGAATATTTGTAAATAAAACGTGTTTCAAATGTTGAAAAATCGTTAAATTTTGAGCTGCCCCTTGATATATTGGACATTTATAATTCTACCTCATTTTTTTACTTTTTAAAGCAATCTTTTGAAAGTTTTATCAATCCGACATAAAATTAAGGACCATTTGGAGTCCCAAACGAACTCAAACTAAATTCATGGCGCTTGAATGTATAATCTGCATACTATGAAAAGTTGTAATTTCTAACAAGAGGAATATCAGATCTACAGGAAAGGTAAATTATCAGTAACATTTTATAGGATTTTGATTGCAAAGGATAAGATAGTAGGCCTGCAAATTACCTGATTAAATCGTCTTTGCAAAGACCCTTCCAAAATATTATTTTTGGTGGTTCCCACATAAATATTTCCATCATTTCTTCCAGGTCTTTGAGGATATACTGACCTTACCCCGCCAAAAACATCGGGCAACTAAAAATAGAAAAAACTTATTGATAAAGAAAATTTTCACAAATATTTTCATTCGAATATGAAGATTTCGACTGAAAAAGTTAAAATAAAAATTCAAAAACCAGATATTTTTCCAGTGGTAAAAAAAGAAAAAATAATTGAACTTGCAGTGATATGTTTCCATTTTGAAAATTTTCCGTTTTTGTGTTTTCAGCTTTAGTTAGTCTAGAACTATTTTTTGCCCATATGCGACATTTTAGGCAGTTAAAAAACGACATTTAAAAATCCGTTATTGTTCAAATGCAATGGACCAACTAGTCGCATTCTTATCCCAACGTTCTCCAAATTGAGGAAAAAAAAAAACAGATTTTTGTTGACGATTTATCAGCTGTTGTAGGTAAGTAGTATCGGGCCAATCGTCTCGATAAATAAGAATCGAAACCTAAATAATAATACCTAGTATTTTCGATTTTTTTTATAAATAGCTTCAAAGTACCTAAATAAAATAAAAAATGCGGAATATTTATAGTTATTCAAGCCTTTTTCTCCATTAAGCAGTGTTGTTCTTTTTAACTAAAAAGCAATTCGCTCATGTGTTCAGCTATAGTATTGATTCCATTAATTTGTAAATTACTGCTGATTCACAATTCAATGGAATTTTATAATGTTTACCATTTAAAACGAAACAGTCTAAATATCTGACGTCACTTTTATTTTTTTTCAATCGTTCGTACACGTAATTTGATTGTGTGAGTATTTTCAGCACTAACTTAACCTTCTAGGGGGGGGGGGCAACCCTTACCATTCCAAATGGAACAGGGGGTCGAGTGATACCTGTTTCAAAAGAGTGTTCAATTTTCTTTCAAATGACATCAAATGAAAGAGAATTGAACGCTATTTTAAAAGAGATATCACTCGACCCCTTGTTCCATTTGAAATAGTAAGGGTTGAACCCACCCCGCCTAGAGAGTTGAAGTTGAAATTCTGAAAATGGTTGCAGAAGACTTCCCCCTTTGAAAATCAAATTACGTGTACGAGCAATTTTTTTTTAAAATAAACGTGGCATCAGATATTTAGCCTGTTCCGTTTTAAACGGTTATCAAAAGCGTTCAAGTGTGACCGTCAAATCTAATTTTTGGTATGTGAACAAAATTTGTACAAACTATTTTTAGACCACATCACTAACTTTGGTTTGGTTTATTTTCACGATTTCATCACCTTGCAAAAAAATCATCCTGGTTTTTGGATTTATAAGCCAGATTAAATTTATTGCGAAAAATCAAAATGAATGCGAACTACCTTTGCATCAGTTATTTTCTTATAATTCTGCAAAGAATCCCACGCAGCTATTCTTCTATCCTTTTCACCACCAGACAATAAAGTCCCTTCAGATAACATTACTAAGGCTCCTACTCCTTTATTATGAGCTTCATATTCCATTCTAACAAAATAGGCTCCATCTGCATCAACACTAAAAAAAAAGATAATGGTTTATGTATCGTGCTAGTTTTGACCTTTATTATAATTAAGGGAGAATAATTCATAAATTTTGGAATAAATTTACCTGTAAATTGTAATAAACCCGTCACTATCCCCTGTAATAACATCGCCATCTTGTTCGAATTGAAGGGAAGTTATCAGGGTACGAGAGGGCTGCAAAAAAATATTAATAAACCCCCTTCAAAACAAAATATCACCTTACAGGTTTTATAATATCAGTTCGTTCAAAAAATCCATCCTTTCGTCTGTTCCAAAATGTCAAATGCCCCTTCCCGTGAGTAATCATTAAATTGTCGTCTAAGGGATGAAAAACTGCTCCGGTAAGTTCTTCTTGAAGCGTCTGAAAGCAATTTTTGGATATTACTATCAGATAATATGGAAGTGTGTTGTGTCTGTTCTCGAGATAACTTTTCAAGTGTTGATAATATCAGTCATTCATTCAGCAATCACATTTTTCGCTTCAAAATGAGGTTCAAACTGGTTTAAGTTTCCAAGCTCGAGGAATTCAATAACATCTATATTTTTGCATATATTTTTTTTAAATATGACAACTTAGTATTTATCTACTTACAGCAACTTTTCCTAATAAATGTCCCCATTGCCATTGCCACACTGACAAAATACTTTCTCGGCCTGCGTCGACACCAAGTACGTAACTACCACCATTCTGAAATAAAAATGAGCATGTTCCACATGAATTTTTGAATAATTAAAACATACCAAATGAGAAAAAGCAACAGCAGCTACACCAACATCGAATTCACCCATACCAAAAACGTATAATGTTTGCAATGTTTCCGTACTCCATATGCGAATATGCGCCTGAGTTTTTCGATTTCTGCCTGCTTTTTGACCTGAAGCAACCATTTCTCTGGACGGGTGAAGATCCATACTGGAATGTATTAGAATTGAATGCCAAAACTTCAAACATGAGTTCAATAATTACCATTGAATATCCTCGGTATGCCCAGTATAATGTCTTTGAGTCTCCTCATCTCGATCAAACATGACTGCAACTGCTGCAACAAAGTACAACAGCTCCCCTGTTGGAAGCACCCAGAGATTTCTTTTCGAATCTATTCCTCTATAACCATAAACCCATTCCAGTATTGCTTTTTTATCTGGAATTGTATTATCCATGGGAGCATGATGTACCGGCGGATAAAATGTTCTTCTCAAGCCTTTGATAGTTACTCTAACTGGCTCTTCTTTTAAAACTTCTAGTAATGTGTAATCATTGGTTCTAACAATCTCACTTTCAGGCGCATATAATGCTCTGGGTCTGCTTTTACTTCTGGCCCTTCGTTGTTTACTCAAATCTTCTACAATGGCAGTTTGTGGACCTCTGGACCGCCCTCTTCTGACAGGCGATAACATAACGCTTGGATTGGAAATTGCTCCCACAGGACCCATTCCTAATATTGGAAATATTTTACGAATTTATACATAATATGAGCGAGCTTTTTACCCAAATAAAATGTGTCTACGTCAGCGAATTCATTTCTGAGTTGGGAAAAGCTTCTAACTTCTTGACCAGAAACTGTATACATGCGTTTTGCTCCGTTCATTTTCAGAACTTGCCCTAGATCCTCCAGGACTTCTTCGAAAGGTTGGGAAGTACGCAGATTTAGCAATACCCTGCACTGAAAATTAACATGATAACAAAAAAAAAATGCATTGAAAATATCGACTTACTTGTACAGTATGATCCATATTATTGATAATCCTAATAACTCTTCCAGAAGAAGGTTTAATTGAACCACCACCCGGTGGTGGCACTTCTGTTTCTACTATTGAGGCTTTTCTACTAGTAGCTTTGCTCCAGCCCTGTCCTCCAGGTGATGCATACCAGATCCCATTCTTTTTTCCATAACTTGCAGCCTGTAATGGTAACATGACTATCATTTATAATGGGCTATGAAGAATTAAATTAAAAATTCTTAGAAAGTAGGATATGCATGACGTTAAACTTTGCAAAAACATGTATGGCAAAATATTAGGCTAATAATAGACCACGGCGCCTATAAGACGCCACGCAACCAGAAAAAAAGTGTAAGCAAATTTAGAGTAGATGTGTGCTTAGACCGATTAAACAACCTTATTTGCATGGGGTTATTTGCACTTAAACATGATTTTTCCGAGAAATTATCTTGTATGTTGTGATAAGCTTCGGGCCTGATTGTTTAAGTTCAAATAAGTTTTCAATTGGATTGAGAAATGTTCAAGAATTTAACATAAATATGCTCTAATATCTTACCATGCTGGGTACAGTAATAACAGCAAAAGATATATCGTCGTTAAACTGATAGTCCAACATTCTATCACTGAAACCTTGCAATTGTTTGAGCAATAGGGCCTGTAAACCGTATGTGAGAACCGTAAGACTGCGGCCAAACTGTTCAAAATAATTTGTGCTAATGAACGTCGCGTGTGATGGTGGGGGGCGTCAAGGTCAAATATGAAGGATTGTGAACGGACGGCACGATTGCATGATTGTCCGGACGCTGACATTGGCGTGCTTTTTATTTATATTTATTTGATTTATATTGAACAAGAATCGATAAAATAATTTGATTAAATGCTCGATCCGATAAGTATCATATACCTATTATAATATTATTTAAAAAATTACAATCGTATAATCTTAGATTGTGATAGGAAGTAGGGACGAGCAAATGGGAAAATTTAATTTCTACATCATTAAATGAATCTACTTCACTTCACATGCTATTAAACTTAAATCTGCCATAGAAAAAAAAAACATAAATTTTTAATAATTCTTTCAAATTGCGTGATATGTTGCATATTTCTTTCTTATTGTACTTTGTTAGAAAATAGCTAGTTGTAAGTAGGTACGCCAAATCATATTTATCAACGGAAATGTTATTTTTTTATTTGTATTTTAATGGCTGTAACCTACATTCTCGTTTTTGCTAAGCGTTCTCGAGTTTTTCTTGGTTTTGATAAATATTTAAAAAAACATTTCCATATTATCCATTAATTAACAGGGAAATGGGTCGTTTTCTACATCTCATATGCCCTACCACTAAGCGGCCGAAACATTCAGGTCACTGGCGTAGTAGAGTGTGTCCTAGATTATTAAGACTAACTTAAGCATAATAACAACAAAATTATTATTTTCCTTGCTGGATACTTGTGCTACTTAATATGCAAATATAGATTAATACACGCTGCTGTGTGCCATGAGAATACTTTCTTAGAAGGAGCGATAAGAAACCTTGTCCAGTCACGATATGTTTGGGGCCATTTACTTAGGCCTGTTGTGGAATTATAGAACATTACATAGGCGGACAGTTTACCATGAAAATAACACTTTTTTAGATATTTCATCAAACCTATAGATTTTGAAATGAATGGTTCGCTAATAGTTTCTTCCGGTGATTTATGATTTACGTATATTTGTGGGGCATTAAGTAGCTCATTGTAATGCTTTAGGTGTGGCCTTAATGGTATTAGAGCTATCAGCACGCTTTTATTACTGTTCGATCCTTAATGTAAATTTGAAACATTATCGACGTTGTTCGTCGAAATATTGAAAAGCTCCAAGCTTTCTGAATTGAATATTACATATTCATTCCGTCACATGAAAATAAGCGACCAAATTTTTGAATCATTTATCACTCTAATATTCCTTATTAGAGACAGCTCCTCTCTGATGCGATTTTTTTTGTAAATTATTTTAATTCGTCTAAACCACCGATAAATATAATAGACTGCGATCTATCTAGGGACGTCAATGATAAAATAGATCACATCTCATCATCAAAATTAGCGTACCTATATCAGAAATTGGGAGATTTGCATCCGAGAAGGTTTTATTTGTAGCCATTATGGGTGAATTATCAATGGTTTTCCCTACCAGTTCCCTGCGTGTTTATTGCGAAGGAATGGCGTAAGGGGAATGAATAAATGATAGAAAATTTGTTGCTAGCATAAAAAACTGTAAAACATAGGGATTTTTCGCGATGTACAAGGCATCTCAGAAGGATCGGATTTGTTCATAAGCTTCAGAAAAGTAATCGTAATTTTTTCCTAGGAAGATCCTTGGATCCGCTTCCCGATGCAAAAAGCCTCGATTATCTCGGAAAGCTTAAAATTTGAGGAAAGAAATTACATTGTTTTTTCCCGAACCTTATTCAATGAGGAATTATGTGGTGGTGAGCTAGGTGATCTGGTAGATCTGTGATACCTAGTGCCGGTACTTTTGCTCTCATTTAACAGCCGTTAAAAATAATCAGGGGTTTGAATGTGCTTTAACTACATCATACTTATAGACCTTGTTACGATAAATTTATCATTTACGTAACGTGTCCCATCTTTTCTCATTTTCATTATAAAGTTGTATTTTTGCCATTTCAGAATCAGCAAATTAATAATTCATAATTTAGGTATTCTAAAAATATCCACAAAGTTCAATATAATATCAGTACTGCCATCTATCCATCATGTGCATAAAATGCAAATATCTATTATTAAATGAAGGTACTGCCATCTAGTACCTGATAGATTTATTTTTCAAAGTATGGTTATAATTATTTCGCATTTGACAGTCATTTGTATTTCCATTGAATAAATTATATTTATCTCACTTTTAGCAAATGGATATATTTCTGTCTTTGTCTAACTTCTGATTCTGAAATGATTATTTTTGGCCTAATGACCTAATTAATTAGCGGTTTTTTGTTTTCATCATAACCTTAATTTAAATTATTGTAGTTTGTAAACAATTAAAATAACTCGAGTGGATTTTTATTTATTCTCTTTTAATCCACGTGGTATTTCATTGTGAAGTGAATGCGATCTTTTGTGTGTAGTTTTCTGATTGGTTGATCTGGTTATTACGCAGTTGTGTATAAAAACACAAGATTGGTTTCCTATAGGGTTTGATTTCTAAAACGGTCTCTTTCTCTGGCAGTGCTCTAGCAGGCAAGTCATTTTCATTTTTATAATTTTTTCTTCACATTTTTAGATTCTCCCTTATAATTTTTCAATTTAATTTGCAATCAGTGCACACTACTATATCACTGTTGAGTTTCTACCTGATAAACCTTATCTTATCTATTTTTGAAATATAAATATTTTATTTTAATTTTTTATCTAATTGTGGGCCTCCATTTTGTGTGGGTACCGATTGGTGGTGCCACGTTTTTTCTCAAGTCAATTCAGATTTTTGGGCTAATAAATAGGTAATGCTGCTCTGGTTTTCAGAATCAATTGTTAGTGTGGGATTATTGGACCATTTGCTCTAAATAGAGTCGGTGAAGACCAAACTTGTGTGTCCATCCCTATCAACTCTTTATTGAATCCAGGCAGAGGCCTATATAGCCATTTTCTGTTTGACTCTGTCAATTATTACCTTCTCAAGGAGAAGAGTGTTGAAAAAGGGTGTAATTTTTAAAACAGAAATCCAGACAGGTCAAAAAAAAAGTTTTAATTCAAACATCTCAAGAATTTTGACAGTTCCTAGATTTGATTGATTTCACCCTCAGGTTTATCTTGTAGTACCTATAGTAACTACCTTAACTTAAAAGGAAAATTTGTCCATTTGGGAGAGAATCTAGAGATTTAATTTCTTATTTTTTGTCTGATTTTTTTCTTATTCTTGCCTGTTTATTGCTACTGCCAGAGAAGCAGCACCCTGCTCAATTTGTAACGAGCATTTTAATTTAATCTTGCTGTTATCTATTTTACTATTATCTTATGATTATTTCCAATCATTTTTTTTTTTTATAATAAAATATTTTTTTTTTCAATTTTCAATAGTTACTTATACCTAATTCTGTTGGAAGGGAGTGTCTGCACAAAAACTAATTTCAATTTAAGTCTTCTTTGCAAGACACTCGCTTTTTGACAGAATTCAGGGATTTAATATTCCAAATCTTGGTGAACCTGATACTGCCTTATTCTTTTCTGGGTACCTACTCGACATAAAAATATCACTGTTTGGAGTCTGGATCAGCTGGAGTGACGTCACCCCAGCAATCTATCCTCTTTCCTGGATACAGGAAACAACACGAAGAGCTCCAGTTCATGAAAGTGAAACCCCAACACCCATCGAAGAGCTCCGGATTGGAAAGGTATAAGAACGTATCAGTGTCACCAGAACCAAAAAGCTGTTAACTTTCAAAATTTTAAAAAGTAACTTGCATTCACATTGTGGAAATAAAATTATTGTTTGTTGGATTTTGAGTGGTTTCATTTGCAAATAAAGGGGCTACACGTTATCTTAATTTCTTTCTTTTTTTTGAATTCCACGACCTTATAGGTCCTCTTGTCTTAAAGTGCAAATAACGAGGCCTATTTGTAACAACCTTGGCCCATGCAAAACTTTGACAACGTATCAAATTCGTTAATCGAGAGCAAACGTATCGGCCCCTAGTATATTTATTCAAAATGCATTGCATTATAATTTGTCTCTGAGTTTTTCTGAAACAAAACTATAGATTCAACGTCAATCACCCAGGTCAACCTCTTATGCTTACCACTATGGTATCCCCTGTTCAATGAGCTTCAAAAAACCTCATGCAACTTTTTGCGAAATGTTTTTTGTCAGGTAGGGATGATTATGATAAGTCTCAGAAGCGTTTTATTATTCTAAGTTATGTAGGAATTAATCGGGAGTTTATTAAGGGTATGGTCCGAATATAACCAAACGTTTTAACCAAAGTAACCGAATCGGTTGACAAGTGGATACTGAAAATTCCGGTTACGTAGGGAACGCGAGCTTCGGTCGCTGTTTAAAAAAATAACCTATAATTTTTTTCTGTATGAAATAAAAAATAATCGACAGATAACACCAATCGAACCGACAACTTATGGCCGGTAACGATTTTGACATTTGGTTAACCAGATTCTAGGACACCGAGGTCCAAGAGTAAACACTTTTCCAGGAACCAGAGTAAATCGATTACTCTCGGACCGCAAAACCATAACCCTGGTTATATTCGGACCATATCCTAAGTAAAATCTAATTTAGTTGACATAAGTTGTCACCTATACTGGTACTAGCCTATTGAAGTATGTACAGTATTGCTATCGCTACATTACTCCCTGTAAGCCTAATATTTGGCGTAGGGGTGCCTGTAGATTGATAAATTTGTCGACAACATGTATTAGGAATGCCAAAATACAAATTTTGGTCAGATACCACAAAAGCAACCGCCCGTTTAAAATGTTCCCAGTAAATCTATGTAGATAATGTTAGAAGATTACATTGGTGCGGAGAAAACAATGTCATGTTATGACCAGGGCCGACCGCAAATATTCAGATATTCGTTCTATTCTGAAATTTAAATAAACAATAATTTACGTAAACAGCGATTTTTGGATTGAATTTTTGTGTA